ATATATATATATATATATATATATATATATATATATAATAAAAATAAAATATATTATTCAAAACAATTGAGAATATCTGTCTGTATAATATTTTATTGTATTTTTCCAATTTTTAGTTGTGTTCAGTTAAATAACTCTCGGAAGTTCATATTTTGTTATTTATTTTCAAGTACTTTCGCAGTCATTAGTAAGTAGCAATGTCGTGTCTGTTTGGTAATTAGAATTTTCTGCATCCTGGATTTATTTGGAAAGCTGGACGTTTGAAAAAGTCTAGTAGCGTAATGTCATGTGTAACGGCTTTTGGGAACGAGTTCACCCAAAAGCAAAGTGATTCATTTATTTTTTTAATTTAAGTTTTATTTTTATTTATTTTTTTATTTCTTGCATGGCATATTGATACGTGAACTATCTTTGAGTACAATGGAAATACCATCTCTTTCCAAGCACCTCATTAATAATTTGAATTTTAAAAATAAACGCTTGGACTTCCCCTTAAAATCTGAGGTCCTTCTTATTAAGATATCTTAAAAAAACTCATAAAAATCTGAGCATATACATGAGACCGGCATATGGAGGTTTACACCCTTGTGCAAATTAAATGAAACAAACGCTTTATTTGACTTTCTTTCAATATGCCGTCAGTTTTAGACCAACTAATGTAACAGGCTGGAATCGATTTCTATTTTTCCTCAGATTACGTCATTAATATGTGCATTAATATGAATCTATTTTCGGGGTGTATGATGAAATTTGTTTGGCCTCGAAAAATATTACGTCATCCGTGATTGCATCAGATTTTCATCATGCCCAGACACCATTTTCTCGACTGTTGAATAGCTGTCCTACGACCATTGTCTACAATGTACGTTACTTCAAGGAAGCATGCAAAAATTGTAAGGCTGCACGAACACTGTTGTAAGCCTTACCAGTGAGCAAATCAACGTACTATATATTATTAGCCCGGAAACTCTCCTGATTTTGTCCTACGGCCATTGTCTGCGACGGACGTTATTCCAAGGAAGCGTACGAAAATTGTAACTCTACACGAATCTATTGTACTTTGGCTTGTTCACTGGTAAGTCTTGCCAGTGAACAAATCAAATTGTGTACTATAGACTGCTCTGGAAACTCTCCTGATTTAAATCCAATCGAAAATCTGTTGTCAATCTGCAAGGAATGACTTCGTGGAATGGACATACGAAGTGTGCACTGGGTCATGTTTCATTGGGGAAATTAAAAAAAAAGTAAATGATAACAGATTTATTCGTTTTGTTTCAATTAATTTGCACAAGGATGTATATAACTGATGGTATTCGAAGAATAATTTTCCCAGTGTTTGTATTCGTTACTAGATTCAGTAATTCAATCTTTGCTCACGTGTCTATGTTGATCTGATAGACGATTTGTGTTCAGAAATTATCCAAACATTAATATTAAGAAAAATAGTCTACATAATGTTGTGATCCTCTACAAAATGATCCCCTCCATTTTTCTCAAAAGGTCTGCAAAATTCTTGTCTTGGGGTCGCTATCAGCTTCCTTGTTTCATTCTCCGTGGTGATTCTAGATTTGATTTTTTAAAAAAATGAGTAAAATAACAAATAAATAACAGTCACGTTTAGATAAGCGATGTTTTGCCAAAAAGTCCCTGCACATGAAATGGTCAATCGATCTGCCTTTTCGAATGCGACTATGCACCAATTACTCGGGGATGTCTCACTGCCGAATATTACTACCACATATAGGCGTCTGTTCATGAATAGGCCGTAATTGGTTCACGAATTGCGTGCCAGCTTGCATTTAAGCTATCCAAATAATTCTTGAAATATAAAAAAAATAACTGTTTATATATATTTATTGTAAAAATTAATAAATAATTCATTTAAAATTTAGAAGTTGTTATTTTGTCATTATGATATAGTTTTTTGTTTCATAAAAATGCAGAACGCCTCATTTAAGGAATAAAGCCGATAAAGCGAAAAGGAGTTTCTGGGTGCAAAATAATATAAGAAAAAATATAAAACAGAGAGAACAATAAATAAACAGGAATTAAAAAGAAAAAAATTGACATTGCATTTAGATTTTTTTATAAGGAAATTTGAAAGTAAGAAGCCTGTAGAGAGTTCCAAAAGCGAGAAGTGCGAGAGAAGAATTTTTTTACACAGAATTTACGGTGACATCTAGACATTTAAAATGTAAACTAATCCCCATCTGCTACTGCACTAAAATCATAAAGTCTAAGCATCATAAAGGAATGATCATCATCAGAAGAAATTCCATGAATGTATTTATGAAAAGGCAAAGAAAGATCATTTACGGCAGTAGGAAGGCAACTGAAGCTGAGATGCCAGGGCAGGACCAATAATTTTGCAGGTTTTTATTTTTATTTTTATTTCAGCATCTGTCTATATTTCTGAGATGAGGTATTATGTACACTATTTACATTATTCGGACTATTGTCCTCATCTTTGTCGCCATATTTATTACAACGTTTCGGCCCTTCAGTATCTGTCTATATTTCTGAGATGAGGTATTATGTACACTATTTACATTATTCGGACTATTGTCCTCATCTTTGTCGCCATATTTATTACAACGTTTCGGTCCTTCAGTATCTGTCTATATTTCTGAGATGAGGTATTATGTACACTATTTACATTATTCGGACTATTGTCCTCATCTTTGTCGCCATATTTATTACAACGTTTCAGCCTTTCAGTATCTGTCTATATTTCTGAGATGAGGTATAATGTACATTATTTACATTATTCGGACTATTTTCCTCATCTTTGACGCCATATTTATTACAACGTTTCGGCCGTTGTACACTCCGTTCTTCTTCAGGTGGTTGGTATGTCGAACTTAACCCTTTATTTCACTCACTGAGGTAGACTGTTCTAGTTCCATATGCCATGTTTAATGGATGTCAGTCTTCATTTATCTCCTGTTAATTTCCCCTCTGAAAGTTCTCCACTGCCTTAACCGGGTATTGAACTCACACTTTTTGGGTCCTGTCACTGGATCTCTATGTATGAATTTCTGGGTATTATAAACCTAATATCTTCAGAAACCATTTTTACCAGTGCTCATATTGCAATTTTTTGCTGTTATCATTTCATGTTTTTACCAGATCTCGTATTGCAACTTTTGTTATTATTATCGCTTTTCTCTAGCACTCCTTATTACTGGTTCCCATATTGTATTCATTCCTATGCTTGCTTTTTTTGTGGCCTGGCATATGTGCTGATTCCTTAAGTTTACGAATTTTCCAATGGTGTTCCTTGTCTATGATCTCAACCTGATCCCACAGAGGGCGGTGATCTCCCTTCTCTCTCCATATGTGGTCAGCCACGCCTGATTTTCCACTTCCCCTCGTGTTACAGCTTTCTGGTGTTCTTGAAGCCTTACCTTAACAGGGCAGCCTGTCTCTCCTTTATATTTCTTTCCACAGCTGCATGGGATAGCGTACACGCAGTCTTTAGTCATGTTCTCCTCTATGGGGGGGGTCTTACTCGGGAGATATATCTGCGAAGTGTCGTCAAGATTTTGAAGTTTGTCCTGATGTCTTTTTTTTTTTAATTTGATACGAATTTCTACATAAGTGGCAGAAACATCAGACAATATATAGCAACCATATTCAAAGCATAGATTGATGGTTTATTTCTAAAACGTACTGACGTACGATCATAGCTGCCCATTCTTCTTTGAAATGACTTATTTGAATGAGTCGGTTGATTTCATGTCATTGTCGAATCCTTCTTTAATATCCTGAATGCATTTCACTTCGTTTATATTCACTACATCAACTCCAAAGGTCTTATTTCTAGGTTTCTAAAAGTGCAGGAGGTGTATTATGGATAACCGCTTGGCAGGAGAAATCGTAGAACTGAGTTCGAATTCCACTCGACTTTGCTAAAGAAAGTTATAACTCCATCGACTTTCCCATCATCTAGTCTCTCTAAAAGCAGGAAAGATTTGGGTCTTTAGGAAATAATCAAGGAAAAGGACAACTTTCAATTAAAAACTGGCTGGGCTAAGAAATACAACTTGTAGAGACTTACCTATAACGGAAAAAACAGCAGCAACACATTATTATAAGGCTGTGGCCCTACATTATAAGGCTACCTATTTTCAGCTAAATCTATATGGTTAATATATATTTATACATACACACACACATATATATATATATATATATATATATATATATATATATGTAGAAATTTTGAAAAAACAAACAAAATCCATAAATGTAGTTAAAATGAAAGAATTGTCGACGTCAGAAGATGGAAGATTGCAGGCTTATCCGGAAATACAGGAATTTTAAAATAATCACGAACTTTTAGGAATACGTTAGAAAAGCGTCGCCCATGTGACTACGGCGTGACCACGTTAAACGGAAAGCTGATCTTTTTAAAAATTTTCAGTTATCTGTTTTACTCTTGGATAAGACTTGTGTTTTTATGTCCATCGTTTTCGTCATATTGAACTGAATTTGTATTTTAATGAATTTTGTCTTGAAAATGGTTTATTAAAACCGAAACGTCTGACGTCGACAATTCTTTCATTTTAACTACATTTATGGATTTTTGTTTGTTTTTCAAAATTTCTACATTCTGTCGGATTTATATCCATTTACACTTGCTTATATATATATATATATATATATATATATATTAATGAAAATACACAGTCTCGGAACTCTCCACTATATGTGAAATCTGGAGAATATAAATTCTTAAATGATGCAGTAACGATATGAGTTGAGAGTAAGAAAACTAAAATACACGCAATAACCAATATTTTCGAATTACAACTTCAGAACGCAAAAGATGAATGCAGTTTCTCTACATTTGAAAGATATGGACTATTTTTAGTTTATCTTCATTTTGCTTGAAATAATCTCCAACACTAAAACATTAATATCGTCGTCATTTGTATGTTTTATTTCATTTGATAACTCAATTTGTTTATTAAATTTCATAACTGTCATTATTACAGTCACGATTTCCTCTTTCATGATATTGTGGATTTTGCTGATAGCGTTTGTTCATTCTTTCTTTATTTCCCTCAAGGGTCTTTACCTCTCTCTCTCGTAGTTTCTACCTCACTAGATCCTTTCTTTCTTTCTTTCTTTCTTTCTTTCTTTCTTTCTTTTCACTCTTCATTTTCACTCTTTCTTTCTTCCATCCTTTTAACTCTCTCTTTAGTTTCACCATTCCTTTCCACTCTTTCTTTCTTTCTTCCTTCCTTTCTTTCTTTCTTTCTTTCTTTCTTTCTTTCTTTCTTTCTTTCTTTCTTTCGTTTACGTATATTCTTCCTGCCTTACTTCCTTCTTTCTCGTATTTTTTTTTCTTTTTCATATATTCTACCTTACCGGCGCCATTCGTTCTTTCTTTTCTTCTCGTATTTCCTATCTTACTAGCTCCATTCTTTTTCTTTCTTTCTTTTGCCATATAGTCTACCTTTCTGGCTGTATTCCTTCTTTCTTTCTTTCTTCCTTTCTTTCTTTCTTTCTTTCTTTCTTTCTTTCTTTCTTTCTTTCTTTCACTTGCTAGCTAAGTCTATTAATTCATTCATTCTTTCTATTTTTATTTCCCTTACTAGATTCAGTCATTCATTAATTCATTCATTTATCCATTGTCTTTCTTTTTCTCTTTCTTCTTTCTTTCGTTATTTCTTTTATTTTCTTCACTTCTTGCATGCATTCATTTTTCTTCTTCAGTTTTTCTTTTTTTCTTGTATTTTCTACCTTACTAGCTCTATTCTTTCTTTTTTTCTGTCTTTCCTTTTCATATTATTACACTGTTGGTTTCATTTTCTTTCTTTCTTTCTTTCTTTGTTTCTTTCTTTCTTTCTTTCTTTTCTTTCTTTCTTTCTTTCCATTCGATAACCTTTTCATTTGTTCCATATCCCACATATACTTCCATATCTCTAATCCATCCATATCTGTTTTCCCTTTTTTTTTCTTTTTCCATTTCTCAGTTTCTTTCTTCTTTCATTCTTTCTTTCTTCCTTCCTTTCTTTCTTTCTTTCTTTTTTCTTTCTTTTATTTCCCTAGAAGAAGAAGAAGAGGAGAAAGAAGAAAAAAGATACTTAAAGAAGAAGAAGAAAAGAAGAAGAAGCTCAATTATTTCTTTCTTTCCTTCTTATAGGAATTGATTACTATTATATTAATGATGAAAAAAATATTCATAATAATAAAAGTTGTACTGTGCTTCTTCTTCTTCTCCTTCTCTACCTCTTTCTTCTTCTTTGTCTACTTCTTCTCTTTCTTCAATATGATTTTTACTCACTCTCTTCTAACTATTCTATTTACTTCGTCTCTTTCCATTTTTATTCAAATTCCGATTTTGATTTTATGAACTTTTGCCATTTTTGATTTTTTTAACTCATATTTTTCTTCATTTTCTTTTCTTGCATTTTATTACTTTATAGTCTTTCTTTCTTTTACTTCATTATTTTTTTCTTTTTGATCACTTCCTCTTTAACATTTTCTCTTTCTTTTATTCATTTCTTTCTTCTCTGTAGTAGACGCCATATTAATATAAATAATGTAAATGAAATAATAATATTTGTAATAATACTTGTAATTCTTCTTCATCAAACATTTTTGTATTCTTCCTCCTCATACTCCTCCTCATCTTCTTCAAGCTTTTTTTATTCTTCCAACTGCTACTTTTCTTTTTCAAGCTTTTTTCGTGCTCCTCTTCTTCCTCCTCCTCCTCCCTCTTCTTCTTCTTCTTCTTCTTCTTCTTCTTCTTCTTCTTCTAACTCCTATTGCTTCTCTTTTTCTTAAGCTTCTTCTTTTTTCTTCTTCCTCCGACTACTCTTCTTCTTTTCCTTCTTCCTCTTACTACTAATATTTCTGATCAAACATCTTTTTTCTTCCAATACTCTCTTCTTTTTTATTATTCAAGCTACTTGTTTATATTCTTCATCCTTTTCTTCTTCTTCTTCTTCTTCTTCTTCTTCTTCATCATTATAATCCACTTCTTCTTCTTCTTCAAGTTCTTTCTTTTTCGTCTTCCTCCTCATTTTAATCTTCCTCTTCTTCTTCTTCTTCTTCTTGTTTTATAAGTATCTTTTCTTCTTCCTCCTCTTACTCCCCCTCCTCTTCCTCTTCTTATTCAAGCTTCTTTTTTCGCCTTACTGCTCCCAGTCTTCTTCTTCTTCTTCTTCTTCTTCTTCTTCTTCTTCTTCTTCTTCTTCTTCTTCTTCTTCTTCTTCAAGTTCTTTCCTTATCGTCTTCCTCCACCTACTCTTCTACAAGCTTCTTATTTTTCTTCTTCTTCCTCCTACTCCTCTTTTCTTATTGTTCAAGCTTCTTATTTTCCTTCTCCCCTCTCTTCCTCCTCCTCCTCTTCTACTTCTTCAAGCTTCTTCTTTTTCTTCCTCCTCCTCCTCCTCCATATCTTCTTCTTCAAGCTTCTTTTTCTTCTTCGTCTTCTTACTCCCCCTGCTCGTCTACTTTTCCTTCCTCTTCCTCTTCAAGCTTTTTCTTTTTCGTCTTCCCCCTCCCTAGTCGTCCTCCTCCTCTTCTTAATACAGTTATTGTTGTTTTCCTCGATGTCTGAATTCCAAACCTGATAGGCGGATTAGCGACCGCTTTTATTCTTGTTGATGCTTTTCTCGACTTCATTTCATCCTTACCTCCCTACCCATGGTTCCCATGCGCGCAGTTCTCGCCAAGAGGCTGTCGAGATATTGCGAGATTCGTGTGAATTATTGAACACCAACGAAAGAGAAGAAAAATCAAACAAATATTAAATCCATCAACGAAAACACATTTTGACGGGAACTAAAAACTAATTGTGAAACTCGCGTGCCCCTAGTAGTTCGACACGTAGTTCTATGAATCAGAGTTAGAGGGAGAAACATTTGCGAAATAAAAAAAAGATGGCGCTGACACGATTGACGCCAACATTGCACACGCCGTCTTACGTCATAAACATAGCACGACCATTCCTACCTAGTCACAGCCATCACTCTCATTGATATAGCTACCGTCTATGTCATCAAAGTCAAACTCACAATTCTGTGACTGCTGCTAATGTAATGGTAATATATGATGGCGCGTGGATTTGGAGAAACGTGTCAACACAATCTTGAAAGACTGTTTGCTAATAATTATCTTCTGTCGTGTGTATCATATAACAAGCATCTCTACATTGATTGCCGTTTTTCATACCAACGTTGAATAAACAGAAGACAAAGAAGATTAACAAAATTTAACTCGGTCATCTAAATCAAAATAGTACAAATATTTTAGGACCTGAAAACTAAGAAATTAATAATTGTCTTTGTAACGGGAGAGGATGAATTTATTCTCCGATTTTTATATCCGCCATTATGAGCATTATTATATCCATGATATAATAACAACGTATATCACGGAGGGAACAAAATATCTGGAAAGAAAAGGCATGATGAACATGCTTTGTTCTCAGAGAGACTTTTACACTACATAACAAAACTATATATATGCCTATATACACGTATCACATGAATTTTCACTGCAAAGGACAGTGTAAGGAGATAAAAAGGAACAGTCTTACATATAATATGGAGAAGCCATGTTTAGGACTCGAGATTCAAATAGGTCAGATTCATCTATGTCCCAGGCGAGGACATATTTCACGAACGGAAGCACCGAGTCTTTGGTTTTCCCAAATTAAGAACTGCGAGCTAAAGTTTCTTTCTATATCTGGGAAAGCTATATTCCCCAAGGGAAACGGCACCAAAGACATGTAAATTTATATGGAGGCAGATTTAATCTCTGTCCGTGAAATAGCGGGAGCTAAACAAAGCAAGCTTTCAGTTTCGCTGGTGTAAACAATTGAAATTTACTGTCGCTTTTGTCATTGTATGGAGTGACGTCACTAAGCGTTCCGTCACGTGAATTATCTCCACCAAAAGGAGATAAGCAGCTCCTGTATTCTTACACTATTAGCTCGTCATCATCCGAATTTCTATCAATGACAAATATTCCAATGCCTTACTGTAAAACTTTGTAAAACAGGAGTGGCGAAAATGTAGGCATGTGTTGTGTTTTCCTTGCAGCAGAAAAGGTAAGAGATCCAATGTGCCCTGGGGTCGAAAAGGTTGAAATAGGTCACTTTTATGGATGAAAAAAATAAGATCTAGGTATGAATTATATGAGAATTTAGAGCGTATTCCTAGGTCCGAATTGTGAGTTCAAAAGCTAGCCGTGGTATATCGTGTGTATCATCATCATCATCATCATCATCATCATCATCATCATTCACTCGACGGCTTCACTCATCAGGGGACCTGAGGGCAGAAGAGACAGTATTCAGATTTTGAAGTCAAAGTTCCTTACCTGTTGCTACCCGTAGCTACAGAACCTATTCTGTCTATTGAATGTGGGTAAAAAATTTGAATTTGAATTGAAGCTTAAATTTTGAAACATGGGAATTTCGGTGTTGCGATGATAATATATTAAATAAAGGAATTATATGAATCTATCTATTTATTTACATACATTCATACATATATATATATATATATATATATATATATATATATATATATATATATATATATACAGATAGATAGATAGATAGATAGATAGATAGATAGATAGATAGATAGACGCATATTCATATGGCGGACTTTGACCGCTCGTCTACGAAGAGTTTCATAATAAGTCAGGATTATATTTACCTTTGAAGCACGCTCATTCGTTATGATGTTCTCTGAATTCATATCTCTTCAGTTTCGTATGCGAAACCTAAACAGAACAATTTCTCAAGAATTATAAGATATTTTAATCCGTTTTATTTTATAAATTATTTATTTCATATACCGACCTGCACGCCCGAGAAAATTTATTAAAGAATGTAATTTCTGGCTACCCGTATCCCAGATTGCTATATTTGAAGCTTAAATTTTGAAACGTGGGAATTTCGGTGTTGCGATGATAATATATTAAAAAAAGGAATTATATGAATCTATCTATTTATTTACATACATTCATATATATATATATATATATATATATATATATATATATATATATGAAGGAATATAGTTTTAAGGTGTGCTATATTTATGGGATAAAGTGCTCAATAACAGAAACAGAGCGTATGTAGATATAAATATAAAAGTGAACATTGAAGTCAACACTCAGAGGCGACAGGCTGTTTTATGTTAGACGCAATGGTTAGGCGCCCTGACGATTGCGTCTGGCACGAAATATCCTGTCGCCTCTGAGTGTTGACTTCAATGTTCACTTATATATATATATATATATATATATATATATATATATATATATATATTGAACAATAATAAAAATAAAAAAAAATTATATATATATATATATATATATATATATATATATATATATATATAAATATATATATATATATTTGGGGAAAAAGTATAAAAAAGTGGAAAAATTATCTCGTACTGAGTTTTGTCCTTCAGTGTTTCCTAGGAATAAATTTATTATGTTAGTTCGACAACACATACACGCACTAACTCGAGATGCTGGGAATTTTTTTTTTTTAATGATTTTTTAATCTAGCCGGTTGCTTTTCAGATTCTTTTTCTTTCCACTACGTTCGTTAGTAGATATTCCACCCTGTGATAATAGAAGTCTAGCCAGGAATGGCGAAATGCTGTCAGAACCAGGGTGAAAAATTACTGTGGATGACCTTTCGATCGAGGCTTATTTCGTTATCATGAATTGTTTTCTCTGTTGATCAGAGCCAGATTTTTTATGTCAAAATTGTGGTCAGTCTCGTTACGGTTGGTATGAGGGTCCTAAATGACAAAACGCGTCAAAAATATTTTTTTTCTACTTTGTCATACATTTTCATCCAATAAGATTTCTTTATTTTTAAAAATAGATATCTCATAGTATGTGTTATTTTTGTTACCATTTTCTTTAAGAAGCCGTTGTTCCATCGTCACTCCGCCTATGAGATTCTCAATATCCTTATATCGAGCCACATTTCTGTTGCGTTTCTATCCATTTGTGGTGAGATTGTCCAGTATTCATTGCCATATCACATTGCAATTCAGCGTTATTTTCTTTGTTTCTAACGAAGTATTCCTTTTTCGTAGTATTTTCTGTGATGCATTTTAATCCTATGCACATTACGGTGTTGCATTTTCCATTTTCTGTTAAAAAACTTCCAAATATACATCTTAACATCTGTATTGTTTAATGTTTTTCGCATCTTGTACTTTTTCTCTTAGCGACAACCGTATTTTTTGTCTTATGATATCGATGATTAGTTGTTTCTTCTCGTTTTCCTTCACTGCCGATTCTAAGAAGTTCTGGAGTTTTCTTTCTGTGTCTATTATCGACATAGTGTCACCTGTGTATCTTATATCGTTAAGATTGCGCCTCCCCAGCCGGTGATAAGCCATAGTAGGGTGCCCATCTCTTATAGGATAGCCTCGCTGTAAATGTTGATCAGACGTTGGAAGAAGATACATCCTTGTCTCACGCGCATTTCTATTTTATTTTCTGTGAACATTATTATTGATCTTTGGATATTTTTCAAACCTTTCCTATTATTATGATTTAAAATTATTTAAATATTCTTATTATTATCTTCGTAAGAAGTGATCGCTATGGCTGCCGGTTTTGCGTTTATATATCATGTATACAATGCGTTTATATATTATGTATACAATGCGTTAAAATTCAATTTCCCTGTTTGCCGATAGCCAAAGTCACTGACTGATGTCAAATCGGTCGAGTTTCAATCCAGGTTTGAAGGAATCGTGATGTCTCGTCACACTGATGAATTGTAATACAGCGAAACACATACACACACACTCTCTCTCACTTTCTCTCTCTCCATATATAGCTTTGAAAGCTCTTTGAATTTAATAGTAATATTCTCAAGCATCCTTTCAGTATAATGTTCTGGGGATGCTTTTCTTTTCATGGAACTGGTTTCTTAAAACCTATTGAAAAGACCCTCAGGAGCGAGCAGTACAAGAGAATTTTAGAGTCTTGTCTGCTCCCTTTTGGTGAAAGGGCGCAAATCGACCCCCACCAAACTCATTTTTATGCAGAATAATGCTCCCTGACACAAATCAAAATTGATGAAGGAATACTTTGATGAGAAGCAGGTGAGTGTTATGACATGGCCGCCCCAATCTCCTGACCTCAACACCATAGAAAACTTATGGAGCATTATAAAGTACAGGCTCTCGAGAAAGCAGTTAAGCAATACGCTCCATAAGTACTTACTGCTAAATTCAAAGAGCTTTCAAAGCATCTTCTTCGGATTTTAGATCGCTTATCCTTTGAATTTGGCTCAACTTTCGTTTCATCTGAGAAGAGAACATTTAGTAAAAAAAATCAGTTGAGTCACTTTTATCGAACAGCACTGTTTTATATATACATATATATATATATATATATATATATATATATATATATATATATATATCCTTAACCGATACGAGGATTCGGAGGTTCTTGCACAAGGCAATCTTCAGGTGCTGAGTATAGGTAAGTGATAATATGTAAATTTATTAATGCGTAATGGTTCTGTTGCCTTACATCGAGCCCTGTTTTATTAGCACCAACACGAAATGTG